ATTAGCAGTCTCCTCCTGCAGCTGGCGGGAAACCTCTGCCTTGTAACCTGGAGTTGTCATTTCCCTCTGTGAATCTGGAGTCTTAATATTTGAGTGCTTGGAATATTTATTTTTCATGTTGCTTACTGACATCAGGAAGGGGCAATGAGTAAATCTTTATGCACTTTTAATCACCTGTTAGTGGAGGAGCTGCAGGGTACTGCTGCTTTACATCTGGAGATAAAAAATTGCAGACGGGTTTGCCAGGGAGAAGTGGCTGGGGGAGGGACTGGGTGGGGGGCCTGGTGGGGGGGGGGGGGGGGGGGGGGAGCCGTGAGGGTCAGGCCTGCGATTTGGGGTGCGGGGGGAGGTGTGGGGTGCAGATCTGGGATCTGGGGTGCAGAGGATGCATGGGGTGCAGAGCTGGGGTTTTGGGGTGCAGGGGCAGGTGTGGGGTGCAGATCTGGGATCTGGGGTGCAGAGGATGCATGGGGTGCAGACCTGGGGATTTGGGGCGCAGGGGGAGGAGGTGTGTGGTGCAGACCTGAGGTGCAGGGGGAGATTTGGGGTGCAGACCTGGGATTTGAGGGAGGCACGGGGTGCAGGGTGAGCCTTCGTTTCCGGAGGCCGTGCGGCGCCGCGTGGCAGGGTCTGGCCCCGGCCCAGGCGCCGCCTGCGCGCAAGGAGGCCACGGGCCGGTTTCATTAATTAGCAACTCCAGCTGACGAGTTTCTGCTGCCCCAGCCCGGCTGCGTCGCCGCCAAACACGCCGCTTCTGCTTTCCTTTTCGCGTCTGCTAGCAGAAGCGAGTAAAAGCCCCCCAAAAAAATAATCCCACCGGCCTGGAGCGTGGCTGATGTTCGTGGGTGCCGGGGTGGGGGTGAGCTCGGTGGTCCATAGCGGGGTGCAAACCGAGGTGACCCCAGCTTAGCCCCCCCCCACTGCCCGCAGGGTTTTGGCCATGACGGAGGCGGCGGGGCTGGCGCCCAGGCGCATCCTGGTGACCGGTGGCACCGGCTTGGTAGGGAGAGCCATCGAGAAGGTGGTGGCTGATGGAGAGGGGAGGCCGGACGAGGAATGGATCTTCGTGTCCTCCAGAGATGCCGACTTGACGTGAGTTGACCGCGTGGGTTTTCGCTTGGAAACCCCCCTGGTTTGCTTCCTCGGCACCGCTGAACCCCCCAAATTTCCCATCCCAGGACTG